CCCAGTTTTAAACAAATTTTTTGTGTGCCTGTAAAGTTAAATGATTTAAATACATCTCAGTCGCTCCTGTCCACACCGCTTTCAGAAAGAAGATTCTCTCTGCGTCCGTGATTGACAGCACAGAATACAACAGTTGACCCCTCCACAGGAGACACAGATGTGAACAAATGTGTGAGGCCGGGACTTTCTATCACTTTTAACATTCTCTGACTGACCATTTTACATGTAAATACCACTGAATTCACAATATAATCATTATTTTTAACTCAACAGTACGGAGAGTTTGTCAGACAACACAGGGGTTACAAAATCTGTATTTTAATTGGTGCAAAGATGCAGTGTGGAAACAGCTCTAAAGGGACTGCTGGTTAACATATGGTCTTAATGGGCTGCATTTCAGCCACTATTTAAAACTTGTTCTGTTGTCTAAAACCTGATATATATGTGCACAGAGAGCTTGAAAGAAATAAACAGATGTTAAATACCAGCAGAGTTTAGGTTGCACTCAGGCACATCAGGCACACAAGGGTCACCAGTCAGGACCTTTGATGGTAACTTTTGGTCTTTAACACTTGTAAAAAAAATAAGAAATATTTCCAGCCTTGTGGATCAGCCTTCAGGTGCCCAGAATGGAGGTGGATCCCCCCCATATCACCAGTAGAGAATCAGGTTTTGATTCCCACAAATTAATATCAGTACAAATTCACAGACATTTGTACAAACAGATGCACAACAAACAATATCAGCGATGACTCAAAAACCCCAAAGGAAATAAACACAACTACAGTAGGTATTGAAGCCCCTCAGCAGCATGACTTGAGCACCCAACCATGTCATTTAGATATATTGGCCCAGGAGAAGTAGTGGGGCACCGTGCACAGGGAAGCGACATATCAGGCAGCACTCTGAGACAGACCGAGGTATTTTTCTGCCTCCCAGAAAACAACAGAAGGTCAGGGGGCTACCAAGATACACCTGGCACAAATGGTATTCCTCAGTGTGGCTGAAAAAGATTTATCTTGATACCTGCGCTGTTTCATGGGAGTCAAGTCCTATTCTGTACAAATAAGATGCTCTAAACCACAGGGCCTGCATGTAATAACCAAGGTTGATGCCGTAAATCCAGATGGATGTACGCCGTTAAAGCGTTTTACGGTTGCTTATTTCACAGATCATCTGTCTGAACGAACGCCCTTAACCGGCCGCCGTGCTCGGTCCCACAGAAAACAGTCTTTCAAGTGACAAGACAAGCACATTTTCTGGAACAGGGGATTGTGAGAGGCTCTACATATGTTTTCTTTTCCATAGCTCATATCTTTAGTGCGACTTGATTGGCCATAAACAGATCAACCCTGAGTTAAACAACTTGTCTCTTGTCAAACCAACAAAGACGGTTCAGTTTACACACAGTAATTAGGTCTATGTAAATGTGGATGATTAGTACGTAGTGACTGGTGATACGTCTGCTTGGCCGTTTTCTTTAACATCGTGTCTTAGCTTATCTTAATTAACATATGATGATACCTCCTAATCCTCCAGTTACTGGAGCAACATCTTTGGGAGCATCTGCCAGCTGCTCATTACACAGGTAAGACTCACTAATACAATTAAAAGCAGCTTATCATTGTGATGAGGCTACCACATGACCCCCGAAAAGTCAATGACATACAGAAAGGACAACGGCTTTCATTAAGAAATATGGAAATACATACAGACCAATGACATACAATAGCATTCATAAACAAAACGCTCTTTACAGTATTTTTATATACAAGGCATTTTGGAGAGCTCAGAGGCATCCTTAATTTTCCATGCTCTCTAAATCTTTTCTATGTAACACATTTTTGCCTGAAGGATACTTAGAGAAAGTAAGTGCCTCTTACGGAAATCTGTTTCAGTCTACTTTACATATCGTTATCGTCTCGATTTACACCATATTTGCAGTCTAGCAACTCGTACAAACCATTTTTTAGAACCTAAGTGCACAGTATGTAATTTCTGCTAGTAGGGGTCTCTCAGTCAAGACAATAAGCTCATTGGAGATTAACTGCACCTCGCCTAGAAAGCGGTTGAGAGCAGGCGGCAGCAGCAGCAGGGGGCAAAAACAAAAAACTGTGCTGAAGTCGGACAGTTGCCAGCAGCCTTCTGTTTGCACAGAAACACTCTGTTACATCTGATTCTGGTTTCACAGTAAGACCCATTTATCAGTTTGCACACAGTCTCCAATAATTTATATGATGACAGGGCTGCCTAATAAAAGGCTACACAGGCCATCTGAGATCTCTGTTTATAGTTTAACTTCCATTTTATGTGAAGTCTCGTGTAAATTAGCATTGTATCAATTTGTGTATAGGGAGCAGACATGTCTCTTACAAACTGCAAAAACATTAGTAAATAGTAAAGAAAAGGAAAAAAAACAGACACAGAAGGCAACTCTTTTATTACTGATATGTCATATATTTAGACTGTCAGGGCTTCACATCTGTGCAGATGTTATTTTAAGAATCTTCACATCCCCTACCAGACGGTTTTGTGTCATTAAATACTTCAAGAAGTAAATCAGTCTAATTTTAATACGCAACAGACTAGAACTATAAATTGTTTACAGT